AATGAAACTAGGACAGAATTAATCCTCTATTAATAGCCTTTCCAACGGTGTGCAGGTTATATTAAGTTTTGCCTCAAGAATTTTTTTATAGAACTTTGAAAATTAACATAATATAGGCTAACATATAAGCAAAGTTTAAAAGACCAGTGTGGGCTGCACTTAGCTGGAAAGTCTTTTTTAGCTGAATGTAGCGCTGCACATAGCTGAAAATGCCATTTTTGCTGAATGCAGCGCTCAGCACAAAACGTTGTGTTCGGCTAAGTGCAGCGCTGCATTCAACAAAAATGGCATTTTCAGCTATGTGCAACGCTACATTCAGCTAAAAAAGGCTTTCCAGCTAAGTGCAGCCCACACTGGTCTTTTAAAGTTTGCTTATATGTTAGCCCGCAATATGTTAAGTATGGAAATTTTCAAAGTCCCATAAAAAGACTCTGTGGGCAAAACTTAATATAACCTGCACACCGTTGGAAAGGCTATTAATAGAGGATTCATTCTGTGCTAGTTTCATTTTTTCAAAGGGCATGGTTTGCCCACAGCGACATTTTAAAGTTTGCTTATATGTTAGCCCGCATTATGTTAAGTATGGTAATTTTCAAAGACCCATAAAAAACTTTTTGGGGCAAAACTTAATACAACCCGGACACCGTTGGAAAGGCTATTAATAGAGGATTCACTCTGTGCTGGTTTCATTTTTTCAAGGGACATGGTTTGGTCACAGCTCCGTAAACTTTCGCTTTATCAACCTCATTTATGGCATAGTGTAAAAAAGTTTTGGTTTCGAATATTAGTTAATTTACATAAAGTCATGTTTTGTTTATAAGAATTTGCAAAAAAATTTGCGAAAACTTCTATTTTACTTGTATTTTGAGTTAAATCCCTCCGAGACTTCGTTTAACAGAATTCTGTTAACGGGTTTACAGAGCTCTGTAAAAAATTTTAGTTTGTGTCTTTGCTAGTTATATTTAAATATAACTTCACACCCTTAGGAGATGCGCGTAGCACGGCGTCAATCATGAAGCAGAAGGAATGAAGAAAAGAAGCCTAGTGAGTCTCTGATGTATTCGGCTGCTTCACAAACGCACCTATAATAAACTAAACTCTTATACCTGCAGACCACGAATAAGTCCGCAAAGTGTCAAAAGCTGTAACTTATAATCCATATCAGCTATTGCAACTCACAATTTTATTCAAAGTTTTGGCAAAGTTGTGAGGAATTTAGAATAATAGCTCACAACGATAATACTGTTCTAAACTAACGTATTGTCACATCTATTTTTAACTATTAGCGCCATATCTTTAACGCAATCAACGAGTTGTTAAGCGTAATAAAAAAATCAGCTACTGTCGTCTTCATTGTTCTAATGTCTTGGGGACCTCTTTGATAGATACGGACAAATGTTCTTGACATTTTTCACTGCAATATTGTTTTGTATGTTTTGGTTGA